ATAAAAAATTAAATGAAATTGGTAAAATGTTAGTGGTGTAGACGATAAGTGAAATTAAAATAATCATTGACAGTTACCTTAGGGACAGGTGGTACACTATAAAAAAAATCATCGAAAAAAAAAACAAAATAAATAAATAAATATTATACACGTATATATACTACAGTGTTATATGGTATATAATTTTCAAAATGAGAAGAATATAATAAACTTTGTTTTGTTTTATTTTGTAAATACGGATAATACTTTCATATATTCTAAAACAATTAAAATTAGGGATGCATGATATTGAAATTAATTTTTCTAAACTATTTAAACTTTTTCGAATAAACTTGAATACAAGGAATACAAAATAAAGTTTTAACTATGATTTTGATTAGAGAAAAATTATATTTCATGAGTATACTATAATTAAATTCTGATGTTGAAAATTTATGTACACACACGTATATAACAAATTTATAATACATAATACTCAAGAAATAAATAATATTTTACGTAGAGCAATAATAATTCAATATTAACTTTTGGACAATATTTTTTTATTCTGTTATGAAATTTAATTTGAAGAGTTTTCTTAAATTTTTTTAATTATCAGTAAAATTTTTGAAAATTTTTTGAAAATTTTTGAATTTTTTTTTTTTGTTATTTTCTACATTTTCTACATTCTATTTAATTTGGAAGAGTGGAATAACTTTAATAAAATAATTTAATTTTTACATTTTAATTAATATTATCATAATCACCTTCTTTTACTGAAATTTGATTTCCGAAAATTCGTTGGGTACACTAATTTCATAAGAAGTGTTTTATATTAGAGTTAATTTGAATTTTACCTTATAATTGTAGTTTTCTGATATAGATATTCCGAATATTCTTAAATATTGATCACAATTAAAATACTTTAACGCTAATCTGATTTTGATATTTGGTTTATCAAGCTAAAAACTATATAATCTTTCAACAAATAACCGTATACTCTTATAAAGATTTTGTCAAAAATAACTTCTTTTACAGTTTAAGCTTCTCAGAAAAATTAAACTATTCTATATTAAACTGAATATATTGAACAGAAACAAATGTCGCTGTTGTAGCTATAATTATATTAAAATTTAATTATAAATCGACTGTTGTTTCTCATTATATGTATTTAGGGGTTTTGAGACTCCGGTGCAAGTCTCGCAGCTAGTGATTACTTTAATATTGCAATTTGTTCAAAAGTATAGCACTAACGTAGACGAGAATGAGAATCACAAAAGATTCTATGGGACGACGTGAGAAGGTTCAAAGAGCTTCAACCCCCTACATTAAAAAAATATTTATGTATATCATCATAATAGTTTGTCTTCCAAAAATTCTTAATAATTTTTCGAGTAATCGTCTCTATACTTAAAATGATTTTTTAGTGTGCAGATATGCTAATATTGTCAGATTGCAATTAATCAAATTTTATATATCTTAAGAGATGTAGATTCTCTGCAAATTTGTAAATATTTCATTATTGGCTGTCAGACGTTTTAATTTAAAAATACATTTAGAATTTAGAGAAAATATATTTTTATGGTGCTGCCAGTTAATTAGATCTTAATAAAATATAAATTTCAATATACTATATAACACAAAAGCAAATGTACATAGGTATAGAAGATTTCACATTATCAAAAATTAAATTTTAATTAAAAAATCATAATTAACATCAAAGTAAAAATTGTTTCAAATTTTTGTAATTCTTCAAATTTTTTTTTGCTATTTTTTTATGGTTTTTGACAAGATTTTTAAAATTTTTATTTCTTTTTTTTTTATCATTTTAATTTGATATCATCGTCATTAAACATCTTTATAATACTAAGCTAATTTAAGGATTATTTAAAGCGTAAAATTTTTAGTAGAAAGTTTATTAAAAGTTGGGAAAAAGAAGTAAAATAGTAAGCTGTGTGTACGCAAAAAAAAAAAAAATAAACTTATTCAAAGCAAATATCAAAACAAATTTTTTTTTATCTCCCTCTAATGAAGTCTTAATTTTTTTTTTCTTCCGCATTTATTTTCTCATTATACAAATATTAAATCCACCCCACCGAAAAAAAAGTATTAGTTCATTCAAGCATTACATAATAAAATAAGGAAATATGAACATTGCAATGGCAGCAGGTAAATTGCACCTGGTTTATAAAAAGAAAACAATATTTATTTGTATTAAGTTGAAGTAACAGTATATTCATGTACTTGATTTTTTTCTATTATATGTATTTAGAATTATAACAAAATATAAACATATTTCGAATAATTTGTTCAAATCTAGTTGCATTCTACGTTGGTTAAACATGCTATTTGGTTAAATGTAACCAATTAGAAATATCTTGGAGTAGTATTCGATGAAGACTTGAAATGGAATGCACATTTAATGGATGTCCACGCATACCCCTATACAACAAAACATCACTTTACTATAGTCTTTTTAATAGCATTGTTACAAATGGAATCGCAAAATAGGATTCTTTCAACTTATGAAAAGAATTTGAATACCATTCAAATTATAAAAAATAAAGCGATAAAATAAATTTATTCGTAATGCATAAGACAACTTCCACAAACCTAATACAAAGCAAGCTTAATATACTAAAATTGAGAGATTACAGAGAAATTATGAAAGTAGTGCATGTGCATAATATTGTAAAATTTGCAGCTAAAACTAATTTAATATTAGACAAAAATGAAGACTTCCATAACTACAATCCAAAGAACGGCCACACACATATGATCACATCCAAGTGACAATTTAAATTAACTCAAATCGACTTACAACTCCAGTACCAAATTATACAAAGGGTTACCAGTTGGCCTAAAAAACTGACCTGCAGCGAATTTTAAAAAAGAATATAGGAAATTAAAGATGGACAAATACAAAGCAATACAATATAATTAGATATATGAACGTACATATAATATTGTGTATATAATATTATATTTTTTTTTTCATTTATTTGTGTCTCTTTTTATATTCTCTTTCTTCAATGTATCACTTAAAATTTTATTCTATTTCATAAGCATAACTAATTTTTCTAACTTTCTTTTTCCTTCGCTTTCATTTCAAAAATTAGAATTATTTAATATTAGATAATAATTGTTTTAAATTCTTTGTTTGACATTAAGGATCTCACTGAAGTATTAGTTGATTGTTTTTCTTGTTTTTATATCTTTTCTTGTTAAATCTTTTGTATTAAATTTTTGTAATTTTACAAAAAAAAAAAACACGTACTTTGTAAAATTAATTGCAAATGTATTTGTACCCTTTTTGTTACACTCTACACGAGCTCATTTCAGATAATTGAAAAAAAAATTAAATAAATAAAATGAGTATTCAAATTTTAACCGATTCTTACAATATTTAAGATTGTTGTTGTAGAAGACTAATAAATTAGAAAATAAACGCTTGAATATTCTGAAGAATATTAATATTATTATTTCCAGTATTATTTTATGAAATAAATCACTAATTGTCATGGATATTACATTTTATGTTCTTTATGTAATTAGATTACTTTGGTTAGAACATCTTCTGGATTTATCTCATTTCTAAACATATATTGTTTACTAAATATGGATTTTATAATAGAAACAAAAAAAATATTAAAATATAACAAAATGGTATGATGAGTTTTTATAAAATTTATTTATTTAATTAATTAATAGTTAATAATACTACATTGAAACTGCTGGCTTTAAAATGAAATGAGTCTATGTACAAAAATTATGTGGATGCTGACAAATAATAATTAAAATCTGCTTCTTATCGGTTATTCATCATTTGCTTAATAAAATTTATGTCCTCGGTAGTATAGTGGTCAGTATCCCCGCCTGTCACGCGGGAGACCGGGGTTCGATTCCCCGCCGGGGAGGATGCTTTTTTTTCGAAATTTTTCAAATATTTGAATTTATTTTTAAAACCATTACATTTTTTCAACTTTCAAATTTCATTTTTCAATATTTTTTATGCAATATAGTAATCACCATAAATATCATACATAAAATATAAAAAATTATCAATGCGTTAACATTATTTGTAACTTTTAAAATAAAGTACAGAAAAATTGTATTTTCATTAAAAATTTACACTGTCCATTACGTAATGTAACTAAACACGTCACAAAATTAAATTACGTATTAAAAAAAAATATTAAAAGTAAATTTTGCTAAAAAAAAAAAAATTAAAAAAAACACTTTTGTGGTTCCATCCAGGATCGAACTGGAGACCTTCTGCGTGTAAAGCAGACGTGATAACCGCTACACTATGGAACCCCTTGTAAGTTCCTTTATCATTTTCTATTAAGAATAATCTACTAAAAGTTTTATATGCTTTTGTATAATTCAATATTTAACAAATATTACTACATAATTCCTTTCCTCTTCATTTCTAATATGAATTCATTAAACAAGTATCTTAATATTAAAATATAATTAAAATATGTTAAATATTAATATTATAAAAAGGAATTCGACATATTAATTTTCTTCGCATATTTAAATATACATAAATAGTACAGATGCACAGATAACCTTATAAACAAATAAAATAAAAGTTACATTATATGATTTGACTATCAATATTTAAATATTTTTAAGCTAAAAATATTATTTCTATTCTGGATATAGCCTTTTAGAGTTTTCCACCTAGGAATACATGTAAATATGTATAGTTTAAATCAATCTGAAGAAAATAATATTATAATGAAATTAGAAATTTAATAGAATACTGGAAAAATGTAGTAACATGTACGCGTTATAGGTTGAAACTAGCTCTAAAGACTATACTCGCAAGCATAAAAATAAAATAATTTATGAACCTTTTCAATGGTGCATGAACATTTCCAACTGCATTGTTAATTATGTACAAAAACATTCAGTCTTTGACATAATATTGTAAATATACAATAACATGAAAATAGTTTATCCTTTATAATTCTTAGTCTATCAACAGAAATAAATTTATCATAAATTCTTACCTATTTTGAGCCGATTTTAATATGCCGGGAACTAATTCCTTTTCATTTTTACAATTGATTTTATTTACATTTACTCTAAAAACTAAAAAAAAAATAAAATTTTTAAAACTTTATTTTGAATTCAAAATGTAAATTATTCATAATGTGCCAGTTACCAATTTTGAAAAATTGTGTTGTATTTTCGTTGTTTGGAATTTTGTTACCGAGGAAACCACCATTTCTCAAAGAAACACATGCGCAACAATAGGAAAAAAGTAAAATTTTAACAAATCATCAAAAGAAATTATAATGCAACATGCATAACAAATAACATATTTTCTGTTTTATTATAAAATAATATTATAATAAACTAAAGTTTAGAATTTCTTTAGGAAACAGTTGATAAATATATCGAGTAATATGGCAGATCGTACTATATTTACAAATTTTAACTAAAATGCTTTTACTTCTATAAAAATACTGCAATATTTATCACAGCCCATGCCAGCTGATACTGACGTTTTCGATTCTTACAAGTGACGTTCTAAATTTTTATAAGGTTGAGTACTAAAAAACTTTTTTTGACAGAACGTAATAGCAAAAACAGTTCTCAGGGTGATGCGATAGATGACACAATGCTCAAGTTTTGCCTCAGCGTCACTTTGTCGCTTATGTAAAACAATTGATTTGGTACGCCAAAGTAGAACAATTTTTTAAAAATTTAGAAAATATTACTTTATATCTATTAACAAAATATTTAAATTTGAAAGATAACGAAGCGACGCTATTATATGAACAAAAACTGCGAACATCATCAAAATCTTCAAAACTTGATTAAACAAAATAAAAGAAGTTTAACAAAGCGTTCGAAAATGATTTTTCTTTGTGTTGTTCATGAGTTTAAATTTCAATAGTTCGCTTGCATTTAGTAAATGAACTTTATTCCGAAAATTACATACATACATACATATATGTATACATATTTCAAATTACTAAGATGATATTATAATAAATTTTTTTTTGTATTTAAAAATTCATGAACGTGACGCTGTAACGCAGGTATTCTTAATTACTATTGAGTCTTTAAGTAAATATAAGTATGTATATGTATGTAAACCAAATAATAAATTATCAATTAACACCGAATTGGAAACAAAAAATCTATCCTTTAAAAAAGTAGTAATTGGTATACCTCCGAAAAACACAATATTTTACTTTTTTTCCCATTGCTTTTAAATTTTAAACCTTGAATGTATTACAAAACTCAAACCTTGTACGTTAATATTACTGTAATATTGTAAATAGATATGTACATATGTTAATGTAAATATGCTATGGTTTTTAAAATGCAGGCAGAAATTTTCACTGCAGTCCTCTTCAATTCAACCTCAGCCAATTTAAAACAAAAATTATTTTGCATCAAGTCAAAAATTCAAGTTTGTGATAAAAAAATTATAAAATATTCAATATTTTTTTAAAAATTTTATATTTCAAGTTTATTGAACAAAAATTACTGCTTTCTCTGCTTTTCCCTACGTATGTAATGATTCCCCTTAATAATTATTCATGTTATGCGTTTTAGGACATGCTGCAACGTAAATTTTTTAATGCATTTTGCTGTTGGGATATTTCATTTGTCTTTCAAATTACACAAAGCAATAGATTAACGCCATTAAAAAAAATTTATTTATGTTTGTATGAGAAATTGTTTTTGTACCATAAAGTGATTTATCAAAAAATGTACGAAATTTAGCCACCATTCAGTAACTTTATTTTTGAAATTTTCAACTCTTGCAAGTTTCCAAAAGAAAATGCATACATTATAGATTTGTTTGTATATATTTATGTATTTTTGAAAATACTTAGATTAGTTTTATTAGAAAAATAATTTTTGTTTGAAAAGAAAAAAGGGTTATATGCAGAATTCGACGCTGCATCTATAACTTGAATAGCTAAAAACTTTAGTGAATAGACAGTAATTTTGAATATGTTTAATTTATTATATTGAACACGTTTTAATTCCATAACTTCTGCAATTTTATATTGGAGATAAGCAAAAAATAATAAAAAATAATTTAATAACCTTGCGTGTTAAAGCAATAACTATTTCTGTTTTAACTTTTATTGGATATAGTCATATCTTCATATATAATTACACATATTGATTTGATGTTTTTGTACAGTCTACAAATTGTTTCTTGTTTTTTTTTTTTTTTAATTTTTTTTAAATAATTTTTAAATATCTAATAATCTTGATTTTATTTTTCATTTTCTTTATACTATATATGCACTTGTTTTATTATCTAAATTTATTACAATTTCATTTAATTTTCAGCAAATTTCTTATTTTAATTCATTAATTAATAACACATTTATTTTTAATTCAAATTGAATAATTTATGAATTTCTTTTTATACAACTTAAAATTATCAAAATTAAAATCTTTAGGACTAATAAATTTTTTCTGTATCATAAACGAAAAAAGAAGTGTCAGTTGAATGTTATTTATAAAAAGACTACAAATATTATATACGTATATAATATATATTGTAAAAAGAAAAAGAAAATTCTAGGGTCACAAATTCTGAAATAAATACATTTTAAGAGAATTAACGTATTCCAATAAAAAAATAAAAAAAATTATCTTTAGTCACTCCACAATGAAAAATTATATTTTTCATAATTAATTAAATATTTCACTTAAGTCTTAAATTTGATCCTTTTATCAGTTTAATAATTTTATTTAAATAAATAATTCATTTTGCTTTATCCGTGAAAATAATACATTGTACATATATAAATTACCGATCAAGTTGATAAATAAATTACAAACAAAATCTCCTTTTTATTGCAATAGGAAGTGCAATATTTTATCAATGCAAGCTAGTTTGCTCTACATATTATATTTTTGAATATTTTAGGAAAATTTCATAAAGATTTTAGTTTCTTTTTTCTTTAAGAATTTGCGTACTATAAAATTGCTTTTATTTTTCAATTATTTTAAAATAAAATCACACAATAAAAACTAAAATTAAAGAATTTTCTAAAACAAATAGCAATTATTGAGTTATTGACTATTGACTTATATTTAATTCATTTTACGCAATATTAAAGTGCAAATTACAAACTTTAATTCTAGTATTTTGGCTTATTTCAGAATTTATAACAAAATTAATGATTTGTTTTTTTTTTTTTTCATTTTTATATCCTATTAATTTGTTTGTCACGCACACATTTACTATTATGCTAAAAATAATAACTAAAAATAATTTTTCATATTATAAATTTTAACAAATTTTTTAATACAATTAATTCTTTTAATAAAAAAATAACTAAATACAAGACCTAGATTATAACTGAATTTGCTTGAGATTGTTGCATCTTATTATCTTGTTGGTTTTGATCTAATCGCCGATAGTTTTGGAATGTTTTCCATTCGCCAGTATTATAATCTAAACGAATTAATGATTCTACTAAACATGATGCTGATGTTCCATCATCTTGACTAACTTTTTCCTAAAATTTAAATTAAAATTTTCTAAATTATTTCAATATTGTACACTAAAACATAGGATTCTTATCATGTTAAACATTTGATAATTTTAAGCTAGTTTTGAATTCGTGATGTAAAAATAAAAAACTAACTTTGCTAACTATGTATATAATCAACTAATTTAACACCAATACGAACAACATGATAGAATGCACATTGTTTTTTACCTCTGTTTCTCCTAATTTGATAACAATAACGTTTTCTGCATTAGGTCTAGGATTATCCCTCATACCAGCCATAAAACCAAGTATAAGAGCTTTATCGGGTCTAGAAACTTTATTCGCCTTTCTAAACATTTCATGGGCTTTGGTAACGTGTTCATTCTAAGAACAATGAAAATTATTAAATCGTTATAAATTGAAAAAATTCTTATTTTACCGATAAAGCAAGGCCTCTTCGAACTGGTTGTTGTTGAACTTGAACCTGTTGTTGAACAATTTGGGTTGGTTGTTGGCGTTGAACTTGAACTTGCCTTTGCTGAGGTTGTTGTTGAGTCTGTTGTTGCGGTTGAGTAGATATAATCGTTTGCGGTCTTTGTTGAAATATAATTTGTTGGGGTCTATTAATAGCTTGCTGTGTTTGTTGAGGCTGTGTCGTTGTTATGATCCTTTGAATTTGTTGTGTTTGAGGCTGCTGTTGGTTTGTTTGCTGAACCTGAACTAATTGAGGTTGTTGTCCTGGTCTTTGAATTAAAGTAATGCCCTGCGGAAGAGTTGTGATATTACCTTGAACATTTGATAGAACAGGTCTTATAATGGTTTGTTGAGGAGGCTAAAATTATAAAAAAAAGATTATTATTAAGAATGATTTTTTAATGCCAAAAGAAACCCTACATTTCCTATTATCGTTTGAACCGTCTGTGTTTGTTGAGGCTGGGGTTGTTGTGAGGCTATTACAACCGGAACCGTACTCTGGGTTAGATTGTTTGTCGGTATTAAGGCAGGTATTTGAGTTGCTTGCTTGGCAGGTTGTTGAATGGTATTTGTCGTTTTTACAAGTCCAGGAGGGCCACCTGTATTAGTTGTCACAAGGGTGGCGCCACTTAAATTATTAAGGCCAGATACACTACTAATCGGAATATGTTGATACATATCTCCACCTATATTTCTTAATATAACACCTTTTTGAGCTAAATAAATGGTTTTCCCAGGTGAGTTGATATTTTTTGAAGACATTATGGTGAATTTAGGCTGCTGTGTAGCATTAGTATTTGAAACAACAGTATGAGTCTGAATAGGTTGTGTTTGCTGTATTTGCACTTGCTGCGCTTGTTGTTGTTGTTGCTGTTGTTGTTGGGCTTGTAATTGAGCTTGAATGTGCTGAACTTGTGCAGCTTGACTTGCTGGTTGTATAGTTACTGCTCGATTAGGTAAATTTACATTCTGAATATTTAATATAGTAGGTTGTTGTGTCGATATTAATGGTGGCGGTTGCGACTGCACATTATTTGATCTAGATGTGGAAGTCATCATAACTGTTGGTAGCGTAGGCGCAGTTTTCAACAAAATTTTGGTAGGTTGGGAGGCGCCACTTGCCTGTAAGGCTGGTGTTTGGATTATTGTATGAGAAGGACGCGCCTGCGCGAATGATGTTAACGAAGGCATCGTTGTTGTTGTGGAAGTTAATATATATTGCGTTTGCTGTTGTTGTGGAGGCTGTGCTTGACTTCCTCCTAATGTTATTTGTTGAGTTTGTAGCGGTTGATTTGAAGATACTATAATTTGTTGACCGCTTGAATTTCTTAAAATTTGTTGTGTTTGCTGTGGTTGTTGTATCTGTTGCGTCGACTGTTGCAATGTTTGTTGTTGCGGCTGCTGCTGTGTCGATGCCGGCGCCCTGGGTTTAATGATAGTTTGTGAAATTATTAAAGGAGCTCCGCCAGGCTTTGGAAGCTGAGATAGAGGAATAGTTCTTGTTTGTGGTGTAGTTTGAGTTTGAGCCGCAGTGCTTGATACTATTGTTTGCTTCCGCACTTGGGAGGGTTGTGTAACCTTAACTGAATTATTATTATTAACAGCCTTATTTGAAGGGGACTGCGTTATTTTAACAGATATATTATTAGGTATAGTAACAATGTTATTAAGAGTTCTCATAACTTGCGGTGGTGACTTTATTGCTGGCACCTCAATTTTCGGCTCAATTTTTTCAATCTTTTCTATTTTTATAATGCTATCGTTTGTCATTACTTGTTGTTCAGGTTCAGTTTTTATTATTATTTCTTCTTCCTTAAACTTCCGTTTGTTTGTATTTACAGTTACAGCTGTTGTTGTGTTCGTCGTTTGAATTTGCTGTTGTGGAGAACTATTAAGTTGAGTTGTAGATAAAATGGGAATATTATTTTGGCTGGAAACAATAATAAGTGGTTTTTTATCTATTGGTTCTTCTTTAATAATTGTTGTTGTAACAGCAGGAGTCGGAGGCTGCGCATATATCGATGTGGAAGCTAAACCTGCTGCGTAATCTGGAGTCGATGAGGTAGGAGTTGTTGGAGTTACAACAGCTGATGCTGCTGGAGATAGCTCGCTCGCTGCAGATGCAACCGCTGCAGCAGCTTGCTTTTGTTCAGCCGCTTTCTTTTGTTGTTCTTCCAATTCCAATTGACGTTTTCTTTTTTTCTGTGCAGCATAACCTAATGGTTGTTCTGTTATATCAATCACCTTGATGCCACCGTCTTTTCTTCCAGCTGGAGTTCTACTCATGTTTGGCCTGTGTTGATTTGCAGTACTTGTAGGAGAACGGAATCCAGTTGTTGGTACTCTTGATGGAATGCCTTTAAGAGGAGTTGTGTCAGTCATTTTCCTTGGCATTCCTCGTGATCTAAGTGGTATTGTAGGAGCTGAAGCCTTTTTTAAACTCGATTGAGCATCAGCAGACTTTTGTAAAAGCTCTGTTCGTAAATTTACACTTTTGGGCTTCCGCTTTAATGTGAAATGTTTAACAGGATTTTGTTGCTGACCAACCTAAAATTATGAAATATTTCGACGATATTTAAAGAAAATATTCGATGTAGCTACTTACCACCGAAATTAAGGCATTTTTATTGAGATATTGACATTCAAGTGGCAACATTCCTAAATCACTATGTTTACTAACTAATTTTCTTAATTCGTTGACCATATCTGTAAAAATAGGTCTTGTTTCTTCGTAATCCGATATCTCTGTATTTAAAGACCCCGTAGCAGCGAAAGTCTTCATAGTTTCGGATAGCATTGATACCCATAATTCAGAATCTAAACCAGCTACTTCTATAATTTCCTCTAACTCTGTTTTCCACTGTCAAAAAAGTTCGTATTTATACAAATATAAAATGTTTGTTTGGAAAAGGCGCGAGATGCTCCTCAACCTCAAGTTTATGTTCATTTGGTTTGGTTAAGTACTTGCGAGATAAAAAAAAAAATTACCCAACCACGATTTTGTTCCCCGGAGTAAATAGTAAATAAATTTGTAAACATTATTATAATTTGGAAACCACAAAACCAACACAAATACACATATTTAGAAGTTGAAGAAACAATACGAAAAATTTAACGAAAAATAAAATTTAATATACCTCTTCAACAAGACGTCGCGGGATGTGAAAAAAACTTAACAATAACTTTAATTTAACTTGGGTTTGGAGATCTGGAAAACATTCCTTTATGTTTCTTAAAACTTCCTTATTAAGTTGTGAAACAATAGACCCGCTTATCCAAGAATCATTTGAAGTTCCTAATTTATTATGAAGCCACAAAGACGTATCATGATCTCTAATCGCCATCTTGAACTTAACTAAAAACTTTTCGTCAATTCTGATTATAGTTTGTTGCAAGCACAAGCAGTTGGCGCTTTTGTCATTAAAATTATTTTTATGTGGCATAACCCAACAAGCCTAATATAGTGCTGAATTCAACATGTGACAAATTTTCTCATGCAATTAAAGCGATGGTAATTCTAAATGAAGGTAATAATTTTGGCAGTTTTTGCTTTTGTTTGATGTTTATATTTTATCATTTTCATAATTTTTTTTATATTATATAAATAACATATCTTTGAAATGAAAGATATTGCTTGGATAACAAATTTTTTAAAAGTTATATGACAACACATATAGCAGTTTCTATAGAAATATTCCTGAGATTTTTTAGTTAAAAAAAAGCAATTTACAAAACTAATTCGAATTTAACTTATCTGCTTTGATTCAATGCTACTTGTTCTAAAAATAGAATTGTATACTATTTCTTCTTTAACATACTTGAAGATTTAATGTGATTTAAGACCAGAAATCAAATCTTGCTATCCAAAGTAAAATCAATTACTATCGTAGACCTGATACTGAAGCAACACGAAACGTCAATGTCAACAAACTTTATTGATATGCAATATTATATACAATTAATAATCCAGATAGAGATAATTTTAAAAACAATTAAGATAATTGAAATAATTACAATTATTGCTTTTTAACTAGAATTATAAATGTAGTCATTCAATTTTGTCTCCTTAAATAATATTTCGCTGAACGCGTTTTCCCCTCTTTTATAATTTTAACTTAATAGGATTATGTATGAAACATATCAAAAATAAAAAAAACATGTCAAAATATTGCAATAAGAAAAAATGGACAGAAGTTCAATTAACATACCAGACGAGCCAGAGACCTATTATAAACCGAAAATAGAGCCCATCTTTCTATTTTTGTAAGAATATTTATACTTTAGAAACGAGTATGATTTTAACAATCCATTATTTTATCAATAAATATAAATCACCTACTCTTTCTTCAAGAAAATTTCAAGTAAAACCCATATTTTATTTTCAGAAAACTGTTAATTATCTAATTAACCACAAAAATATAAAATTCACCCCATTTTTCTTTCTATAAGAAAAAATTCAGCTAAAAAGAATTCTTTTGACAATCTGTATTTCACACGTCTAATAATTTGGCATGTACCATTTCATTACAAACCATTACAGTTCTGCCTCACGACGATAAAATATGAAATTTGTTTTATATGTTATACCTGTGTTTTCTAAACTATTTTAGTTAATGTCTGCCAAAATGTTTCTCCGATTCAATTGGAACGTCAGTTTCAGTTCATAATTGTGATCCTATCATACAAAGGTGAATAATTCCTACATTTTGACATTCGCAAACAAGCCTCAGAATTTTATAAAATGTCAAAATATTAGAAAATTTTTAAAAATTATCAGGTTAAATTTAGTAGTTGGAAAACATACTTTTTTTTTAAATTTTCTCTGACTTGAAATCTATAAATATGGCTTCCAATTCTGATCAAAAGAATGGAAATTTTATTTGTGGAGTGGTTGAAGGTATGTTCTAAAAAGTTCATAGTTGCAATTTGTTTTCACGGTATTGAACTTTAAAATATTTTGCAGGATTTTATGGTCGTCCTTGGACTACTGAACAAAGAAAGGATCTTTTTAGAAAGTGAGTTTAATTAAAAGAATTGTTTTTTAAAGTGTCTAAAACTGAATGAAACAAATTAATTGACGGGATTTTTTTTAAAGATTAAAAAAATGGGGAATGTGTTCCTATGTTTATGCCCCTAAAGACGATTACAAACATCGTGCCTACTGGAGAGAACTATATACAGTTGAGGAAGCGGAAAATTTGTTGGGTAAAAAAATATAATAAAAATAAATTATATATAAGTATCATTATTTAATTTAGGATTAATAACTGCGGCTAAAGAGCAGGGTATTGCATTTTATTATGCCCTTTCGCCGGGCTTAGATATGTCATATAGTTCAGCAAAAGAAGTTCAAACACTGAAAAGAAAATTGGAACAAGTTTCGCAATTTGGCTGTGAAGCATTTGCTCTATTATTTGATGATATAGAATCAGAATTATCGAAAGCGGACAAGGAAATTTTTCAGACTTTTGCAAATGCACAAGTAAATATGTTAACTGGTATTTGTGTAGTTACGTTAATAACTTTGAAATATTTTAGGTTTCTGTAACAAATGAAATTTTTTCACATTTAAATAGTCCACGCTTTTTATTTTGCCCAACCCAGTATTGTAGTTCTAGAGCAGTTCCCACAGTGGCGGACTCCGAGTATTTAAATACTATAGGTTCCAAACTTTATCCAGAAATAGATATTTTGTGGACCGGAAACAAAGTTATTTCAAAAACTTTTAGCGTTCAAGAAATTCAAGAAATTACAGAAGTACTGAGGCGCCCGCCAGTTATATGGGATAATTTACATGCAAACGATTACGATCAGAAACGAGTTTTCTTAGGTCCATATTCGGGAAGATCACCGGAACTGATTCCACTTTTACGAGGAGTTCTAACAAACCCAAATTGCGAATTTCATGCCAATACCATCGCAATTCATACCTTGGCTTCGTGGTCAAAATGTAGTGCAGATACAAAAATAAATAGTAAGCATTCTCAAAACTTAAAAATAAGTGTATTTCCTATTTAATATAAAAATGTTAGATTCTATCTCTGCAGACATTAAACTTGAAACTGAAAACGATGACGGAGTAAATAATGGAGACATACCCAGTTGCTTATCGGAGAATATTTATCATCCAAGAGTTGCGTTAAAGTAAATTTTCATTTTAATCCATTCTTATACTTTCATGTCAAAGAATTTGTTTATTTTAGAAATGCAATTCTAGAATGGTTACCAGAATTTTCAGTTCAAAAAGATGCTTGGGGACCTATTACAAAGCCCCAGCCACCAGTGACAAGTAATCTTGATTCTCTATTTATTCAATAATTTTATTTTACAAAAAAATATAATATTTTTTAGTGGTTATGCCGATTTTACCCATAATACCATCTATAAATACCTGTATGAGTTTAACTACAACTACAACAACTACTGCGACTTCTAATTCATCTAAAGTCCCGGAAGTTAATACAACACAATTGCAAGCTTTGGCAGATGTGTGCTGTAATACTGCAACTGTAACAAATGTGCCCTCAATATCAAATACAGTAATGAATTCATTAGTTTCTGCGACAAAAATAGTAACGAATGATGATATTCCAAACCATATTGCTGCGTCAACTGTTACTCATATGGAAATCCCAAAAAAAATGCCCATATCAAGTATTCCAGTTCCAATAATGTCTTTAAAAAATCATGATGAAAAATCAAATGATTCTACAAAGTCAGAAAATGATGTCGAATTAGAAGAAGTAGACGAGGAAAAAAAAATTAATGAAAAAAATAATGAAAATAATGCTAATGAAGAAGAAACAATAGAAAATTCTGAACTAGAAAAGTCTAACATAGAAGAAGATGTACCAATTGTGGAAATCACTAATACTATAAATCTGAAAAACGAAATTGTAGAAGAAAAATCAGATGCTGGAGAAAGACTAATACCCAAGAATGACAACAATATGGTCGACGAGAATTTGTCACCCATTAGCGTTGCAGAACCTATGGAATGTGGTTCAAGCTTAGCTTCACAAATATCTCCTAAAGATTCTGGTAAACCTGCTTCCGATGACGTGGTAATGTCCGAAACCGTTTCGGTAAGAAATTTTAATTTTTTAATCAATGTTTTTGTTATAATGATTATGATTTTAGACAAATTCAGCTGGAAGCATGCAAGTTGAAAGTACGGAATCTTTGATTTTTTCTCACACTGAAGTTTCGGATGATATCGGTTCCAAAAATATATCTATTGAAGATATCTACCTGCTCTGCGATTTATTTTACTTACCATTTGAACATGGGGGTAGAGGTCTTCAAATTTTAAATGAATTTAATTGGCTAAAAACCCATGCCCATGTTCTATTACATTCCAGTAAAAAAAATCAAGACAATTCAAAACCTGAAGTCCAAGAATGGATGGAGCGTTCTGAGAAATTTTACGATACTTCCAAAACAGTTATGGACCTGTTAAAAAAAATTGCCAAATGTCCCAACAAGGAATTATCTTACGATTTATATTCTTATGTATGGGATATGGCTTGTGTCACAACCCTTTTGAATGCTTTTATAAAATGGATAGGTACTATGAAATTTATAAAATAAAATTCAAAAATTTTAATTTTAAAATTTTTTTAAGCATTGGGCCATTTTCCAGCCAATATAAACTCATACATCACCGGAAGCTACACGTGTACGTATTCTTTAATTGAATACCGCAATATTAAAAAAGACTATATATTTTCGCCATTTTAGGGTTCAGTAAAGGCTGGAAAGAAGCTTTTATGTCTGGAGATCAGGAACCATGGGTTTTTCGAGGTGGCTTAACTGCCGATTTACAAGTATGAAGTTTAAATAGTGAAATAACGTTATTTACATCAATTATTCTTTATCGTTAATGTCTATACTTTTTAGCGTTTGATTCCAATTGATGGTGGTAATGATTTATTTATATATAAATTACCAGATGTGCCCCTCTCGACTATATATACCATACGACCATATACGCCAATGGATGAAGGTCAGATTTATGACGTTTATAAAAAGCTATCTTTTGATTCGTCTATTACACTGCCTGGTAACGTTAGCAATACTTTATATGTGCCGTTTTATATACTATAATTTTCTCATTTTAGAAAATCTTTCTGATATATTCGTTGATCGAGAAATAGGAGCATTCCTTACATTAAATCCAGAATTATGTATGGTTGTACAAAATTCTGAGAATGAAATCATAGGTTTCGCTTGTGCCACGTTAGACTCACGTATATTTTATCGTAACCAAGAGATATGTTGGATTCCAGAAATGCGGGAAAAGTATCCTTTGAATTTATTGGAAAACGAAGATTTGCACGAAAATATCAAAGATGTTATAAATTATTTTCATAATTATAAACACAATTGTCCGCAAGATGTTCTCAATTCTCATCCATCCATTTTAAGGTGTTGTTTACAACGCGATGATCTATTGATTGATCAATCAATTGCTAAACGGGTAATAACGGTATTATTAGCTGCATTACGATCAAATGGTTCATTTGGCGTCCATATTTGTTTAAATACGAGCACTCTCAATAGTATCAATCAAGCATCAACGAAATTCAACAATAGTGATAGTAATAATGATGATATTACTGACGGAAACAGTTCATGCCGTGTTGCTAATATATCTGATAATAGTACAGATACTACATCAATTAATTTAACTGGACATAACAAAATTGGATTTTATACGAGATTAGGTTTTACAGAAATCTACCGTGATACTATTAACTCATGTTTGTATTTGGGTAGAAATTTTTAGCATAAAAATAATAACATATTAGTTCTTAAGTGTAAAATCGGATAAAAGGATTATTTAAAAGTTTTTTTTTTTAATTTAAAAAAATTATTTAAAGTAGTTATCATCACTATCAATAAGTTCATAGTTCTTATTTTCTTTTATCTATAAACATATACATACTTGAGAGATTTTTCGCATAGATTTCAAATTTGCAGAATAGTTACTTACATAAAAATACAAAAAAAAAAATAAATAATTAAATAATTTACGAAGTGATTGCGTTTTGTTTATTTTTCAAACAAAACTCGAATATAACTATCTATTTCTTTTTTAATATAAGACTTTGGCAATAATTAACGAAAGATCAAAAATAATAGAATTAAATCAAACGAATTCTAATATTAACTAATTTAAATGCATGCTTTTGCACTTTTTATTTTAAATAGTCCTAAATGCTATAAGAACAGTTAAGTAAAATAAAACCATAATTTAAAAATAACTTAGTATTGAATTTTGTATTATTTTAATCTTTAAAAGTAAATTTTGCAAGTTTGGCAACACCTGATTGCTTTTCAATCGTATCATCGTTCAATTTCCTTTTGCCTACGTTTGTGAAAATATTGTTGCTTTTCTGGTTATTATTGTTTAATTTATCATTTTGTTCACCATTATTATCATTATTATTTTTACTATTAACAATATTATTATTATTGCAACTTGATTTTTTATATTCCTTCATTCCTAATTTAGTTAATTCGGCATTCGTTAATTCTGGATTTGAATTTTTCAATTTTTCCTTATTAATATTGAACCAAGTCATAAAATTTGTCTGTCCATTCTTAGATATATTTTCGTTATTTGGTGTAGGTGGAATTTCCTCAATTTCAGTATCAACACTTTGTTGAGTGGAAGTTGTTTGCTCCAATTGGCTTTTGTTCATTTCTAATCCTAATGCTTTCTCTACCAAATGACTTAAAGGATTTTCTGCACTATTACTTATTTTTTTTGATTCAAAATTAGCAGATCTTTTAAATGGGTTTCTTTTTGAACCAAGAACCATTGGTTTAGGTGATATAACTGATTTTGGTGTAATTGTTGCTTTATTTATTGATGTTAGAAGATTTGGGGTATAATTTTGTAACACGCTAAAAGCACCAGTTTCGTTATCAACTTCCTCCTTTTCTATTTGTTTTTCCTGTTCCTCAACTGTTTCTCTCATTTCAGATAATCTATCCGCCAAGTGAATACGACCAATGCTTGCCGCATATTTTATAGCCATAGGTAATATTGCGGTAGAGCCTATCATTTCTATTAGCTCTTTAGCTCGTCTTTCCAACTCTGCATGGCAAGCCAATGCGAATAATTTCAAAGCAATTTCTTTAACTAGTCTTTCAGAATTTTCAACGTTGAATGTATGAAGTCTTATTAAATTTTCTTCGAATTTTGATTTCTGGGAGTCGTCTGCGCAAAGCGGAACCTCCATTTGGAGTTCTGACACCATAGGTCTTGGAGTTGTAGGTGGATAGGTTGATCCTCTACAAAGAACTGCTTGAATTTGTTGGGTACTTTCGAGTATTTCGATTAAATAGAAATTGTTTGAAATACTCTGAGTGTGTTTCATTGTATCACATATTGGATACCAGCAACCAGTTTTAGAAGAGTACATTTGAACCAGTCCCATGGTATCACTACTAACTGGAGATCCTCTGTCAGAAAATCCAATCCAAGTGAGTTTTTTCTCTGGCGTTAAAGGAACTCTTATGTCTTTTGTTCTTAATGTGGGACCAAATACTTGAATAAATAAAGCAGAAATATGTTGGTCTTCAGTTGCTGGAGCAAAATGATAAGTTACAAAAAGTTTATTGTCCCTTCCGCATATAGATAGTACAGGACCAGGTACTGATATAACTTCTCGTTGAGTTCCCATTGCAGTAAATATTCGAAGAAATCTATTATCTGTAGCGACCGCAACTATATTATCTGTAGCTGTAATAGCTTGAATCCCTGTAAAGTTTGATATTAGCATTACATTAATATTATAAAAAATGTTTTACCTTCGCAATTCGGCAATTCTGCAGACCATTCACGACTCCCTATGCCACCAAGTAATATGCATACAAATTTACTACAATTATAGCTGCTTAGTGCTAAAACTGTTGAGCTTAGAGCAGCCATATTATGATTCCAATAATTGTTAATATGGAGAGCATGGTGAGTTGTAACATCGTGAAATTCTATGTGTATTGAATTTTCATCATCCGAATTGATGGAGCGTACAATTCCTATATTATTCCAAACCAAATAACGATCATCCAAATCATCTGGTGCCGCTCCTGGTTGAAATGGCTCTTGTTGTTTAAATTTTTTGGTGAAGATCCTATGATCTGTGTCACTTATTGATGGAATACTTTTTGTTTCAAAATCTTTATCATCGTTATCGTTAATATCAAGACCGTTAGCCTTTAAAGTATCATTTTTTAATTTTTCTAGAGAAATTCCGTCATCATTTTCTTCTGGGAACTCACCTCCAGGAAGCCCATCATCTTCAATTTCAAAATTATTCATTACATTGTCCTCTAAATTTTCTAAATATTCTTTAGCTCTTTCTTTTTTGGATAAGCTTTCAGTGCAATCAGTCGAAATAATTCCTAATTGACCTGTAGAGTCGCAATATGCAATTTCACCATTATTCTTAGGATTCCAACAAATAGATGTTATGCTTTGACATTCTGAATTTGCAGTTTCTCCTTGTACTAACTGCCTTTTTGCAAAATTCCACATAGAAATTTCACCGCCCCGGGTTCCAGCTACTATGAAATCTCCGTTGCTTGAAAATTTACAATGAGAATAATCAGAAGTGATTTTGTCATCTGACAAGGTGAACTGAATTTCAAAAGTGGCCGTATTAACAATTATTATTTCCTTTCCTTTACAAAAAGCCAATGAATCACCTTTTAATGGTTCAAATGATGGGCTTCCATAGCATTTAACTTCTTCAAGACTTCGTACTTTAGGAAACCCATCAAAAGTTTTAATTTCAATTTTTTCATTTAAATCCCATAATTTCAAAGTACCATCGCCAGAAACAGAAGCTAAAATATTTTGGATACTTAAATCTAGCGAAAGGATGGGTCCACTGTGCCCTTGAAAAATAATCTCACTGTCAGATTTATCTCTCCTTAAAACTTTAATATCAGTATCTTCTGATCCAGCTGCTATATAATCTTTATTAAGAGCAATACAATTAGCTGGAGCTGTAAAACGAAATTCTGTGCCATCTCTTGTAATATCTGGGTAGTTATAAGCTTGTACTGTATTTAAATCTGTCGATACCAATATTCTGTTTTCATAATGAAGAATACAAACAATAAATTCTCCCAAACATTTTGAACTGGGATCATCATCATCAATACCTTCCCATGTTCTCATGTCACCGTCAGATCCACAGGTGATTATCGTGCTTAATTATAAATGCAATTTCAGAAATTTGTATACATATGTACATATGTAGGTACGAATTTAATAATAAAACTTTCTTACATACCTTCCATCGTCCGTGTAAGTGCAATGAGTATGACCATTTGTATGAGCATAACGCAATGTTGAACGTTTAAAAAACATTTCTATAATTTATTTAATATTTTTATATAATTCTAATTTTTAAACACCAAAATTTCCTTATTATTATATTCTATTAACAATTATTTTTAACTTCATTTGTTTTAAATTGCGCCAATTTAAATTACATATCGCAGGCAATTGACATAAAAAAACCGGGAAACCGTGATGTAAAAACAGAGTTACCATTAATAAAATGGCTATTGTAGATATCAATCATCACTAAAAATTAATACGCCAAAAAATTAGTAGAAATTCCAACAAATTCTTAAACGAAACTGAAAATAGTTCGTGAATTCTTGAAAGTTAATTGCATTACTTTTGAAATATGTGCACGAAATGAAAAACTGGTATTTCAAGATATTTCATTGTTAGGCACTTATTAATAATAGCTACCATCAAGACCAACATGGATTTTTTTTTATTTTATGCAAATTTTAGAGAGAATTCATGAGCGTTTTGGCTCATAAATATTCAAATAAATTATCATAATAATCCTAATTAAAAGAAAACTTCCTTTTATTCGGAATAAAATATTTTTTTTCATCTTTGGAGAAGAAAATCAGCTTTGATAAAGTGCGTATGTAGCGCACGAAATATATTAGCAAATAAAAAAAAGTATTTTATTCCGAACAAAAGGAAGTTTTCTTTTCATACCAATAAAAAATAAAAAATTATAATTCTTTATTATATATTTCGGAAAAATTAACAACCATTGAAAAAAATGTTTTGAATCCTAATTAAATTTTGATTGACCTAAATGGTGTCAAACATTTCAAATTATTGATATATTTTTAATTAAAAATTTTACAATTACGTTTTATCGTAAAATGAAAAAGTATTTTTCATTTTACGATAAAATGCACCATATTAATTTCATATTGAATGTTGATGAAATTTTTTTGGAGAAGAAAAAAAATAATGTTATTAAATTAGAAAAATTAAAAAAAAAATTGGTAGAATTTCTATAAAACAACGCTGCTTGACTTAAACCTCCTATATAAATGTTACTTCACTTGAAGAAACTAATTGAAGAAGGCTTTCCTTAAGTCGAACAATTCATTTGGCTTTTTTGGCTTAAAATGTAAATAATAACTTATAATAGTTAAACATCATTGGCTCTCAATCAGTCAAGTATTCAAGCTGTCATATAAACAAAGTAAGTGTTATTTTTTAGTAAAGTATAGATTAAATTCAAACTAATATGACTTGTCAAAAACTCAAATATGCAAAAATTCTTGGATGAAAAGAAACACGCTCATAAACAAATCTTATTAGTTTTTATAAAGTTAACTAGCCTAAAATTTAATATGGTTTCGAAATTTAAATAAAATTCGAGATCAGTTTTAATATAATTTGATTAAAAAATAATTAAGAAATGAATGACGTATTTCAATTTAACCATGAAATATTTTCCATTTTACATCTTTATAAGTATTTATATTGTGAATAGTAAAGCAAGCATACCAACTTAAAAAATAATATTAAATAAACAAGTGAAACAACAATATTAAAAATAAAATTGTGAATTATGTTTGTTGAACTTTCTTGAGTTTTTTTTTTCAACAGTATTGAGTTGAAGTGTTGAACTAATCGGCGGATTGAAGTTTAAGCGGTATCGTAAAATATTGCGGTTTTCGATTCAATTGGTACATTTGTATATAAAAAAAAAAAATTTTGTATATTAGATTTCAGTAATTTATTTGAATATTTTCTTTTCAAAAAAAAAACATGTTTAAGCTAAAATAAGTAATATTAAATAAAGGATTACCAATATTTTACAAATAATTATAAATTTTTTCGAAAAAGAATTCGATAACAATTTCAGTGTTAAATTAGTGAACTGAATTTTTGAAAGTGAGAATTAAATTAGCAAAAAAAAAAAAGAAAATAATATGGGTAAGGAAAAAAGTTTCAATGTACACTCCCTTGTTCCTTTTAAAGGGCAAGGTATTCTATACTAAAAAAATACAAAAAATAAAACAAAAAAAGAATTAAGAACGTTTTAAGTGAAGGAAATATTTATAAATGGAGTCTTCTTCCTGGTCTATATTTTTTGGCATGTTCAATTTGAAAAAAAACAAAAAATAAAGATGGATGCTTTTTATTAAAAATTTTTTAAATAGATTAATATTTTTTTTTACTAAATTAGTAGGTTAAATTAAATATTTATAATTAACTTAATTGTATTATGATGACGTATCTAATAATTTTTTTTTTCTTTTTTGACACGCATAAAGTATAAAATTTTGACCTTTTCATTTATAGATTTTTCAAATAAGAATAAAAAAAGGCTACTTTTCCAATTGGAAGTTTGTTTATTTCCTATAACATGTAGATACCTTTTATCTACATAAATAGTTTATCGTCTAATTTTTTGTTAACTGCTAACAAAACTTTTTTAATTACATTTAAAAGGTGGTTGATTTTATTTTTATACTAATGGACCTACCTAGTACCTATCTAGTATGTTTAGATATTTGTACATATGTAATTGTATGTATGTACTTCTAACTAGAAATATTTAGCTTGGTTTTTTTCTTTTGACAAATTTTAGTTGCTAGTCTCAGTGATATTTTCGAAAAAAAATGTTTTTGACTTGAAAAACTTGTATATATTCTTAATATTTTGTGCCTATAGATTATAAATCTATTGAAGTAAATTAATTTTAATAAAATATTTGACACATAATGTAGGAACTTACCCGCTTAATATTAACATTAAAATTATTTTAAATTACAAAATGTGGTGTAGTAGAGAAAATACATGTATTTAGGAACCTACCTACATACATATGTATATGATAATATAAAAATTCTGATTATTATCCCCTAAAGAATTTCTCTGACTCAATTATTTTAAAAATAGAAAAGAACATTTTTATGTACACACGTTTAAATTTATATGTATAAGAAAATTTATAGGCATCAATCTATATAATACAATATTTATAATATATACATGTGTATCCATTATATATATTTTTAATACAGGTACTATATATATATATCTATCTCTATATCTTTAATAGTATGGTTATACATATGTAATATAATGTAAATAAAAAAATTAAATAGAAATTAAAATGTAAGAAAAAAACTAATTAAGCTAGAAAAACTATTGAATCAATTACATTTGGACCGAGTATAAATTGCTATTTATTTTCAGTTATATTAGTAATTATGTATATTGTTATAGATGTTTTTGCGGCTAACACATTTTAAAATTAAATTTTACATTTTAAAATTGAATCTTGAAAGTTTATTGACTTCAATTAATAATGATGATATTTTTCTAAAAACTATTTTAAAATTATTTTAAAGGTACCAATATATTTCAAATGCATACCTACGTACCTACTGTATATATTTAATAAAGTAGGTAACCTGTACAAACATACACACATTTGTTTATGGGATGAAAGCTTACGATTTTCCTCAAGTACATTTTGTTCATTATTTTTTTTTTTATAAAAATTATGAAGCTTTGCAATTTTAACATTCTAGTTTTTTCAATTTTAAAAACTTTATTTTTTAACTTAAATTGTTACAGGTAATTGGGTACATAGGTACATCAAGAATGTTCTAAATGTAAAAGTCTAATTTCTAAACCTATTTAGGATGATTTAATTAAGTTGGTCAATTGGAAAATTATTTTTAATTATTATGCAAAATTTCTTTAATAATTATACAAAAAAAATCACTATCTACCTACCCAATGTTCTGTAATAATTTTAACATATATTTGCATAACCAGTTGGTAGGAGTCAACTTGCTCACCTAACCAACAATAATTCAAATTTTATGAAATTTAATAAAGTTACGTTCTCTAGGTAGCTTAATAGGAGTAATTTCCTTTTTAGTTATATTGAAATTTTTGAATAAGAAAAAATGCGATAAACTTTAAATTAATTAAATGTTAGCTACAATTTTACCTAGATAATTTAAGTCTTAAAAAAAATATTTATAGACTGATAACAATAAATCAGTTGTACACATGTACGAATCTACCTACCTACCTATTTACATATAATTTTTAAAAACCACGACATAAATTAATGAATGAACCTACAAATTTAATATCTTTTTAAATAGGTATACTCGTACCTACATACTAATTCATGTATACTTAAATTATACATTTAAATATGTTGCTCGTGTATATTTTAAACAATCATAATTTTCTTATAAATGACCAAAATTGAACAATCAATCAGTCAGCAGCGGTCGTCATTCATACAAAATATGAATGAATGATTACTGTAAATTTTATTTTCTTTTTTTATTATTTTTCTCTTGTATTTTAAAATTGTACTAAATTTTAATATGAAATGACATAAGGTACCTATATTTTTTTATTTTAATATGTGGTATAACTATGGACACATAAATATTTTAAATTAAAAATCTCAATTCCAAAAGAGAAGAAATTAAAATAGGAATATGTATGTACGCAAATGTATGTATGCAAATGTATGTACATATGTAATAACAAAATGAAAAAATCATTCATAGCGGAACAAAACAACAACAAATTCAACCACAAAACTTGTAATTTATTTTAACAAAAAAAATAATACATGTAAATTGCTGGTTGACTATTAATAAATGTAAATATAAAAATTATTATTGTTATTATGATTATTATTATGATATCCATATAGATGTTTGGACTCCAATACCTAGATACATTTTAGATTAGGTAAATTCAAATTTATAATATAGTATTAAATGATGATTATTATGAATATCAGTGACTGTACAATATGCTTGTGATAATAATATCACAACAGTAATAGTAAAAGTAATAATAAAAATACAAAAAAATAAGTGGTCACAAGGATAGCCACTAAAATCCGGTCAATAAAAATATTTAAAATTCTACGTTATATGCCGTTTACTTTTGGGTCAGGTTTTTTTCTTTTTTTTTTTAAAATTCACACACCGTAGGTATAAAATCAAAAATGAAAACAGAAAGTATTTTAAATAATTTCTTATTTTGTAGCGACTATAGGCACATTTATTACAATATTTTGTACGTATTAATAATAAAATTTAAATAAAAAGATTTGACGAAAAAAATTTCTACTTGCAAATAAGTTTTATAAAAGAAGTGGTTTTTTACATTATAATAAATTTAAATAAATTTTAATTTTGCTAGAAATTTTGATTTAAGATAGTAAATACAAAGGAATTTTTAGTTTAAGCTCTTACATTTGAATATTTACATATATATTATCCTTCCTCCATTTGCATCCTCTTTTATCGAAATTAGGCAGTTTCTGTTAAATAAATTGATTTACTTATTTGAACTGTTTAATATTTTTGATTTATTTTTAAAATATGAAATTTTGATTACTTCTGCCCGGAAACCTTGAAGAGATGGAGCGAAATATTTATACAAAAAATTTAGGCAAAAACAAAATTTTAAAAAATAAAATTTATTAGATTAAAAAGAAATTCCAATAAAACTTACTTTTTGTTATGTGCACAGTTCAGAATTAATTTAAACAGGGTTAGAGCCTAATTTTGTACAATATATAGTTAATGAGTTATTTAGAAAATTAACAAATTGATTAATGTTCAATTTTCAGAACTAGTCGTTTCATTTTCAAATTGAAATTTCTAACTGGTAATCAAATCCAAAGTGTAATTTTTTTTTTACCAACAGAAAAAATTAATATTTTATAATTAAAATATTAATAAATTTTTAATCTAATTAAAAAAATTCAAATAAAATATTGGGTTTAATTTTGTAAACTTACTCAGAATTTCATTTACTCGTAAAACATAAAACCACCTGTCCAATTTGAATTGGAATAAAAGAAAATTTTGCAATTATCCGGATGTATAATAAAAAGAAATAATAAATAATAGAAAATATGCTAATTAAAATCAATTTTGCTTATTTAAACATTTTGTTTGTAATTATTATTAAATTTTGAAATTCAATATCCATATATCCATTTTGCTACAAAATTATAATTACATATATACATATTTATAACTACTTAATATTTGATATCATTGTATATTAGTTACACCGTTACCATATTAACTTACATAATTTTTACTGTTTTTCTTTTTTAATACGCACGTTTAAGTAAGTATGACTGTATTAGAAAAACAAGTTGAAGACATTCCGCTAATATTTTCCATATCGATTATCGATTATTTAATTATGGGTTAATGTATTTTTTATTATAAAATTTAATATGTATATAAGATAGTAAAATATATATATAAATTAAGAGACATAAACTGATCTCAGGTTCACAAAAACGTAATGAAAAATGAAATGAAATGTGAACTAAAATAAGTAAAACTACATACTGAAGTGGGATAAAATTTATGTACAAAAATAAATTGCTGTGTACATATGTTTAATGTATTTAAATACAAAAGTTTATTAAGTAATACAAGTTCAAAATAATTTATGATAATATTATTTTTTCATATATGTATATGTACATAATGTATATAAGTAGGTATTAACTATGAATTGTACATATAATATTTAATTTAACCAACGAGAATTGAATAACTGAATTAAACCGCGCACTCATCTCTTTTTCATTTTACTTTACAGTAGAACACAATTATAAAAGATCTTGTTGTGAATTTTATTGAGTGTCATATTTTATGCCAGTTTTTGCTCCATAACTTATTTAATTCATTTGATTATTAAATAAAATTTTGACAAGTAATGTCATTTAATGGACTACCAGCACTGTGTAGATATGTATTTAAAGAACGCATTTGGATTTAAATATTTATTTTAAGAATTTTTGTAAAAAAAAGGAATATTCTTGATAAACTTTATCATTATATTAAGCATTCTCGCTGCGAAACCCATTTAAATTATAGCAGTGTTGACATATTTTATTTTACACATTATAA